AAAATGAATAAGAAAAGCATACTGGATTTTTCTCAGGGATTTTAGAGCTCAGCATTGTAGTATTTTCACCACTTGACAACTTCAAGGCTTCAGGGACCTAAGTTTCACTCAAGATATTGGAAAAACTGCTGTTATATTTCCTCACAAGGCATTTGAACCAAAATGTACAACCATTCTATCGTTACTGGTGTCTGAAGGCATTTCTTAATATCCTATTCAGCCTTTGCTCCAAATTGGGCACCGTGGGAACGCCAACTCGCATCAACTCGAGGTGCAACTCGTGTCAACTCGCTTGACCGAGCTGATACGAGTTGGCCACCTCGCATCGGCTCGCATCACCTCGCGGCAACACTACTCTTGATATCATACAAAGCTGAAGTGAGTTGATGCGCAATCACGAAGTTGAACGTGATAAAGTGAGTGAAAACACGTCAGAAAGTTGACTAAATTGCCTTTAAAAACAGGAAAGTCTCACGAAAATTTACATTTACGGAAATGAATCCACCACGGTTCCTCTACGTCATAGCGCAAAAAATGTCCCGGTATGCGGGAAACTCGATGTAAAAATAACGAGTCTAAAATTACATTTTAGGACAGCGGCGGCTCACGACACAGCCACCTGTCAAGGACTTGGGGAGATTTTGCGTTGCAGAGGCGTTGGTAAATTCATGAATTTGTTGTATTGCATTGCACAAAAGTTTCGACGCTTAAATAAGGACGAAAGAATGCGACGGGGAAGCAGGGGAAGCGCGTACAAGGAAAAGAGGTACTGTATGGTTGATGAGTGGCTAAAAAGCGATGTGAATGAAAGGAGGAGACGGCGTGGCGAGACGAGAAGGAGACCATTTGAGAGAGGGCATTGGGGCCCATCGCCACCTCAGGTACAACAGGCGCTGGGCGAGCCCGGGGTGGCGGGGAGCGCGAGCGGCGGTGGCGGGAGCAAAACCGATCCTGAGGGCCGTACAGGCGGTGTAGCGGGAAGAAGGCAGTACCGTTTGAAAGAGGGGATTGGGGCCCATCGCCACCTGAGGTTCAAAACCCGCTGAGCAAACGCGGGGCGGCTGGGATCGCGAGGTACACACGAGGGTGAGTTAATACAAGAGCAGTTGGGACAACATCATCGATGCTACGTAGGCAGATCCGTTCCATCGTCCACACCCGCTTTATAGTTGGCTCGAGCAGAAGTAATTCCACGCAGGACCGCACTTTTGCGCTGGTTGCGCCGCAAGATGAGCTTGCGCCGCTGGGCAAATAACGCCACGAACAATGTCCCGATAGTCAGAACAACCCCTCCAATGACTCCCCCTACAATCGCACCCACATGGCTTTTGGCGGGTAGACTAGCACTTCAAATTGGATGAATCCAAAATCAACATAGTGCTCGAGGACGGAGTTTCACGTATACGTACGTGTAGATGAGATGATCAAATCCGATCACCGTCCCGTGCGTCGTTGGAGCGATGACCAGTGTATGGGGTCCGTTGGCCATGTCCGATTTAGAGGTATTCCGCTGCCCGCCAGCTATGGCTTCGTCAAGAGTCATATTCAAAGTCGCGATGTCGCCGCCGTCCACGTTGATCGAACACGTTCCGACGAGCTCGAGGGACGCATAGAACGCGGTACCTGAACTAATGAGCACAGAACGTCGCAGCAGCGCCTAGGGCTCGCACCGGTGAACGAAAACGTGATGGATCCGTTGGTCAGCGTGGCTGAGTTATTGAATAGCCCCTCTGTTACTCCCTCGGGGCACAAAGTGGTGTTCACGTTGCATCGGAATGTCTCCCCGCTGTAGCGAATATCTGGGGACGTATCGTCGACTGTATAGTTCTGCAGCGTGGCACGGACAAAGCCCAAACAGAGAAGAACGATGAAGGATCGCTGCATGGCTCGATTGGGGCGACCTCCGACCAGGCGTTGAGACTTGAGAGGGAAAGAAGGGGGAGGAGATAGGAATCGCCGGCTTATGACCAGCAATAGGATCATCTCGGCTCCTCGCTTCTAAACCTCTTGCGGGATGTCACAAGGTAATCCAATTCAACAGCTTTACTGAGCCCATTTGACCTGCAGTGCTAGTGTGTGAAATAATTGAGTTTGGGTTATGTAATTTCCGCGGAGGGCGGTTCGTTTATCATATCGGGCGCATGGTTTTCCGCCAAATATTCGCGATCGTTCCACCCAACGTCGACGGTCGAGGAGTTTGACAAAATAGAAACTGTCGAGAAGCTCGGGCCGCCAGAACGCCGGGTCAGCGTGAGAATGCACTTCAAACGCTGAGGCACGCCGCAAAGGGCAGGCAGATGGAATGAGAACCAAGTCGGCGAAGAACTTGCGTGAGATGACAGCTTGCTGCTGTTTTCCACTAGTGCTTCCCACAGGCCATGCAAACGAGGCAAGTAGGTAGGATTACACGGCACTGTCCCGCTCAGGAACGCCGGGGCCCAGGAATTATCTAAGTATACAGACACTATTGTATACTATGGTCCCTGGTCCTCCGTCACACCTTGCGTCATCTACATTACCAGCTCCATCCCGCGCGAACAGCTAAATCAGGGACACCCGCTGTAGGGAGTAAATGCTAATTACACAGTACGAGTTGAAGTTTCTTTTTTTGGCGCTGTTTAATGGCCTCTAGATACCGATAAGTCATATCGCCTTTACTATTGATATAGCATCCGTGAATTTATGGTCAGTATCTACTTCGCGGACTCAAATGTTTCTGCCAATCGTCACTGACCTAATTTCTTCAGGATATCTGGATTCTGTCTGTCTTGGGGACTTGGGTTTTCTTGTCCACTTGTTGAGACCTTTGCAACTGATGTGCGCCTTTAGATGTTGCTGGATGAATTCAAAGGTCTTCGTAGGAGGTCGTATATTATGCAGGGCATGTCACTTACGTAGTGCCTAATATATCTGATTCAACACTCACCACAATTGATATATATATAATCAGAAAAAGTGAATACAATCAGTCAACCTAGGTGCTCCATACACTCAGAGTCTCAGACTGACCGAGGGTAAAATGAATGTTATGCACTCAAACTGAGTGTTTTAACACACTCGGCTTGAGTGCCTCAAACACTCGGATTGACCGCTTCAGGACACTTGGTTCGCGTTGTACCGGCTCTCCACAGTGAACTTGAACCGGTCCCGAACCGGTTGTCACATACTATGTGCCGTGCTTCAACTAAAGGACGGAACATGTGCCAGGAAAATGTGCGGTCTTTTAGCAAATGTGCTGTGCACTCCACTAAATGTGCTGCCCTCCGCATGTGTGTGTGTGTGTTGGATCTCGTCAATCCTGCTCTCCATCCACATCTCAGGCCCCTGCACATAAGATCAGCCAAACAAGCAAAGAAAATAATGGAATCAAGTAAGATTCGCACCTTCCGATTATTGACGCGCTGCTTCTCGATCCTGCGGGCGAACCACTCCCACGCCGTCGCCCCCGTCTCGAAGTTGGGGTCCGGAGTGTTCACAACGGCATCCGCGATGGGCGGGCTCTCGTCGACCAGCGCACGGAGCACGACGGATTCCACGGGGCGGGTGAAGTACACCAGTGATTGGTGCTCGAGACCATTTTGCGCTCCCGGTGGGGATCTGCGATGTCAGCGTGAGCGTGGGGTGCTGTGGCGGCTGGGAAGTAGTTGGGAGACGTACACTACGCGGTGGAGGTTGGGCCCCAGGTCCCTCTGCTGAATATGGTCATTGCGTCACCGAGGTTGCAGATGGCGTGTTCAGGGATCGGCTGTATAATTCCATGGCGGATTAGAATCAATATAGGCTTGGTGGAGGTGTAGATCGGAGCATCACCATCACATACTACCATTCCTGTCTACCCGGAACCTGGACCTGATCATGAAGGCCACCGAGCCGGTTGTGCAGAAACGACTGTCAGATTTGATGGTGCCGTCAAATTAGGTCTGCTGGAGGTCGAAAAAAGCACTCAGAAGTGAACCAAAGTCGGTGTGCGCACCAATTGCCTGTTGCTCGGCGAGTGCGGGGCTGTGCGTGCATCGAGCTTCGGATCCACTGTAGTCCTTCAACGCGTGTCTTTTTGCCAGTGCCCCAGCGGGCAGACCCAACTTCTCGTTAAAGATGCCTAAGAGGGTATCGTTGGCCGTGAGGGACTTGCGCACGAACGGCGTGATGGTGCGCGCAATCCCGGCATTCACGGTGGACGGGTACGCCCGGTGGGCCTGCTGTGGATACGCCAGCACGTCGTCAGTCGAGATGTTGATGGATTGCACAGTGTCTTTCTTGCCGGAACCGTCGACCGCGTTGGCGCCGGCGGCTTTGTATCTGCGTCAGAAAGCGCAATGATTTAATACGAAAGCAGGGTTGTCGAGCGTACCCAAAGGACATGCCGCCGTCTCCTTGCTCGTATTTCATCTTCTCCACCATCGGCAGGCCCATCGTTTCAGTCGCCATTTCGAACATCCCATTGGCCTCCTCTTCCACACCGTGATTCTTGAGGCTAGATAATGATGTGGGTCACTGAAACAGACCTGTGAGCGGACCGCGACTTACTACCAAAAGCCGAGCTCGGTGCCAGCAGTCCACAGTCTCTTAATTTCTGCTGCATCCTTCACTTTCACGAGTTCGTAGTCAATGACAAGTAGCGGGTGAGTCGGGACGTCGTCTGGGAACGGAGGCAAGGTAGCTGTAGACATTGTAGTAGATGTTGTATGAGCTGGCTCAGGCCGTCGATGTCGGTTGGACCACGAACTACTTGCTTTTACTGTACATAGCCAGATAGACAAATACGCTTGTCGTCACCCTGGTGTAGCGTATGACGGTCCATCGCAGAGTGCGTACGGAACGGCCAACGATGCAATGCGTGAGCCCTCAGACGCCCCCGGCTTGAGTTCTCTGAGAACAACGGCCACAACGGTACAAAGATAAGGTGGTACTTGCGCGGGGCCGAGAATTGAGTACTAGCGGTGAGAAGTTGCCTCGATTTATATCTGAGCATTGAGACACAAAGGCTGTTTGTGTATGTGGACCTCTTAGCTAAGTGGTATAGCGTCGCATTCCAGTTAAGGAGTGGGTGTCGCGAAGGTCGTCCGTTCGATCCGGGCAGAGGTCATCTTTTTGGCGAGCGAGGTCACAAGGTCAAAGTGACTCATTTTGTCTGAGTTCAAATTGGGAATTTTGGAAGTCCGACCGAAGTAGAGTTTCTTGATCATGAGGGGCCAGTATGGTTGTTGACTCGACGCGTCGTCGGCCAGTGTTTCTAGGTAGGTAGAATTACATCTAGAATACCTCAGGTCTTCCGGCTGTGTCTTGTCAAATGTTTGACATTGCTGTTTGCGTCTCTCCAAGTTCTCGAGTTTAATGAAAATGCAGAGGAGCACACAGACTTCCTACCATTTGACGAGATTTTCTGATCTTACGATCAGCCGACTCCCACGCGTGCGGTATTCGAAACAGCACTGCTCCGAAAATCTAACTCGACAGGCTTAACACAGTGACATTCGACCCCGGCAAAATGGCGTGCTGATTCCATGGCACGCCTCGCGCTTCACGCAAATAGATTCGGATACTATAGTTCTTTCGGTGAAGCCTCAAATATAGCAGAGATGCTGTTGTGAAGAAGACAGGTAGGCGCTCGTGAGCGCCGTCGGACAACCGGAGATGAGGAACATATTGCGTGATTCGCTTTCGAGATATGCCGTGCTTACTGTATTCAAGGCTATGATCCGCCTTCTTTCAGCATGGATAAATCGCGAGTTATGAGATCAACACGCCGTTTCCTCCTTTGCCCTTCCCCATCGTAGGTATAGCGTTCGTTTTCGTTCCCTATGTTGACGGAGGATCTGGCAGACAGACAGTAATCTTAAACTCACCTGATACGCAAGAACTGCCGCGCGATGTTTCAGTTTCTGCAAAATGACTCCGAGGTCTGTCGCTCGATTCTAACACGAGGCAAATTTCGCTGATGATTAATGGAATCCTGCCAGTGGAGTATCCCCGCGTCTACTGGAACTCGTCCAGGGCTTGCCGGTGGGGTGGCCACGTCTGCCGTTGCCCTGGTATTTTTCGCGGGCCTCGCATGCCGATCGTGGTACCGGAAATATCGATCGCGAGGAAAGCTAGATGGTCACGAAGACACGCACCTATAAAAAAAAAGGTGTTTCCATCGGCAATGTATGAGGGATAGCGCATAGCTGTTCCCGTCACCAGAGCTCCGCTAATCCTGATTCGATATGAAACGATCGGAAGGATCCGCAATCGTAGCGCAAAAATATCTCCCAGATATCCTGAGTTCATCAGTCAGGAATAATAGATGCGAAATACGGGTCCTACTTGCAAGTTTATGCCGCAGTGCTCAAGAGACCTTGTGAGATAACACAGAGGGGAAATATCACCGAACAATAAACCGTTTTTATAGCGTCTCCGATGAGTCGATACCGAGTGGGCCGTGTTCAACAGAGCCACAAGGCCCAGATGTCACGGATGTCTAGATCTACCATATAGTAATAGTTGAATGTTGTTGTATGTGCTCTCGAGATGACTAGAAAAGGCTAGATCCAGGAGACGGACATCGGGAGAGTACCCGGGTATCACGGAAAGAACTGAGGGAAAGTCGCGCACGGCTATGAAACTTGAGACATGCTAAGCGCCCAACTCGACACCGGCCGCCGAGCTGACTCAGCCTTAGCGCTTCGCGTGCTCAGCTGCCACCTCCCTTTTGATTCGCAACAGAACGCCTTCAAGTTCGGGTGGTTGCAAGGCATCAACTTCCTTCATCCTTTGATAGTCCAAGTTGCTCGAAATACGCGACTCATCCACACGATGCGCCGCGCTTGTTGATCGCCCGCCAGTCGCAAACTCGAACTCGTCACAAGTATTACCAAATGCCCTGAGTAACAGGCTGTCCGAATTCTTGCCAATCTGTGTCAACGGGAAATATACCAGTTGTCTTGTGCCTCGATGATTCCAACTCTCCCGTTTCCCAGCCCGGATCCCCGCAATGCAGTGTTGATCAATCGCTGGGACACAAGGACCGACGACGCCACAGTCCGCTCTCTGTTCTTTCACTTTCGCTCTTACAACTTGCCTTCGAGATTTTGCATTGCATGTACTCGGGCCCCGTAGAGCTTGTCTGGGGTATTCCTGGTCCTCCAACCTCCACTCGCTCACCGCAGACCCTGCAGAAACAAGAACCCGCTGCGGTATGGCCTCGACCTTGCCATCTTACGGGTTCTTCCAGACGATTCGACCAGGAGCCTCCGGGGGGTCGAAACAATCCCTTCCAGACCCACCGTGCTCCGAGCAGGAAGCGCCACAATTTCGGGCGTCGACACTGGAGATTCCCTGTTCTGGACGAACTCACACGGCTGGCGCTCAGAATCACCCCCCAAATGGCATGCTACCACCTTCAGAAATATGGCGTCGTGCATGCGCAATGACTATCGAGAGCGCCGGAGCTCTAATAGATGTAATGGTCATTCGCTGCGTGGCGCACATGCAGTGGCCGGGAAGGTCAGTTGCTCTTTTGTTTTGGTTGCTCACGTTGTGTAACTTTACGATTCAGGGTTCTGTCGGGGTTCCTCGTCATGCGCCATATGTGCGGCCTGGTACCCAGTTCCAAGCTTGCCAGCGGGCTGTGCGTCAGTGCAAGGTTTGCAGCATTTAATTGAAATTGATCAAGCTCATGCATGGGATTATAGCCTACCAAGGCCATGAAGTGTTCGCAGGCGACACACTCCGAACCTGTGAGAGATGTTCCCAGTGCGGCGGCCTCCACCCTCAGCGATAACACTCGGCATAACAGTGGAACTCCGCCTTCCCAACTACAGGAATGTCTGGAGGACGGGTACTACCGTCCGTCCCTCGGAGCGCATCCTTCGCTTGGCAAGAATTCTCCCTGCGTGATCTGGCGCTGTACAGACTGCGCGGAGAGACTCCCGCACGAAAGGAACCTTCAAATCGCGGATGGACCGCAGCCCAACCGGAAGGCTGCCAAAACCAATGCGTTGCGCGGGCCGCACGTAGATTTCGAGCAGCTTCAATCGTGGCCAAAGGATATTTGGGGTGGCGTGGGCTGGGATAGCGATCTGGAGGATGTATTTCTAACGCCAGCGGACGATACGGTACGATTTGCGCTCTCTATACGAGTGTCTCTGATACGACTTTAGATGCACAAGAGTGAATGCACAGTCTATCCTTCGATTGAAAGGAGTGCGGAAGCCAACACAGCAGATATCCTGCTATCTGCGGAGTATGATTTGACACCAAGTCCTTCGGTGCAAGTCTCTACCCCCTCGGACTTCGTTGTTGGTCCAGGCTTGGTCTGGACGCCGAATTTAAAGTAGGTATCCGCATTCGTTGGACCCGGAGAAGTAATTTCCTCTTTGTATGTCCTGCAGAGTGTTCAATGTCTCTGAGCCTTCCAGAGAAGTGTCGAGGTGATGTCAATTTGCTGATGTTGCACGTAACGTATTTGTTCCAAATGTTCGATTTCCGCGTTCTCTTTCGGAATACTGGGTCAGTAGAAGGCTGGAATTTTATGTCGTTATATATATACCCTGATATATCCTTGCTTCCGCACGCCTCGTTATACCAGTGCGGATTCTGGAAACATCGGATTTAACGACTCACGAAATTTCTGAACACAGATTTTTTAGGCTTGGACCGTGCCATGTAACCCTCCGGTCATCTCCGGTACATATACACCCGCCAATGAGATATACAGCTTTCATAAGATGCTACATATACTGTACATACATACAATGCAAGTCGTTGATACATCATGTACTGACCTCCACTTTAGTGTGCTCCGTATGCTCTGTCCCTCTGCTCGCCATCCACGTCTCCGGCCCCTGCATAAATTCAGTCGTTCTGCAAATACGCGTTGCGCGAAAATGATTTGCACACCTTGCGGTTCTTTATTCTCTGATTCTTGATGCGCCGCGTGAACCAGTCGAAAGCCGTCACGCCGGTGTCATACTTCGCGGGATCGGATGCGGCGGCGACGGCCTTCGCGATGAGCGGGCTGTCGTCGGTCAGGGCACGGAGGACGACAGAATTTCCGGGACGCGTGAAGTACACCAAGGAGAAGCGGTAGAGTTTGCCCTGCTCTCCGGGTGGGTTCCTGCGATTGTGTCGTTATATAAGTGTGAGGTACCGCGGGATAACCGGGCCGCGTACAGGACACGGTGGATATTCGATCGGAGAATTCCCCACTGAATATTGCCATGGCGTCGCCAAGGTTGCAGATCGCATGACCGGGGATTGGCTTACGGTTTGTTCAGCCGCAGAATGTGAAAGTAAGCGGAAAGTGAATAAAATCCACCTTCACATATTGCCATGATTCGGCACCAGGGACGAACACCTGCAGGCCACCAAGGCGATTGTGGAGAAAAGACTTCGAATTCGAGTTAGAGGGTCAGGCGGCGCCGAAAACGATGCAGGCATACAAGAGAGCCAAAATCTTAGAGTGCGACAAATAGTCAGGGAAGGATTCTATCCGAGGAGTGAGCAGAGCAAACCAGTATGCGCGCCGACAACCTGGCGATCAACGATCGGCGGGCTGAACGTGCAGCGCGACTCGCTACCACTAAACTCCTCTCTCGGGTGCTGTTTCAGAAGTGTGCCCTTGGGCAGTCCCAGCCGGTCGTTGAACGCTCCGAGGAGCGTGTTATTCACCGCGAGCGACTTCTCGATAAACGGCTTAATTGTAGAGTCCATGCGTGCGTTGACCGTGGAGGGATAGGCCCGCCGTGCCTGCGCGGGCCACGCAAGTGCGTCGTCTTTCGCGATGTTGATGAACTGAACGGTGTCTTTCGTTCCCGTGGCATCGACGGCGTTCGCACCGGCGGCTTTGTATCTTGAGGGAACAAGCTGTATACAGATTTTTACAGTGCAAGTGAATTCATGAGACGCACCCAAATGACATGCCGTCGTCGCCCTGCTCGTACTTCATCTTCTCCTCCATGGGCAGCGCCATCGTTTCCGCCGCCATATCGAACATCCCACCCGCCTCCACGTCGACGCCGTGGTTTTTCAGACTGCGTTCCGCCCCTCAATCAATTCCCGAGCCTGGTAACGACAAAAGACTAGTATACGCACTACCAGAAGCCG